GATAGTGGCTGATCGCACGGCGGGTCCGCACGATGGACGATACAGCACGAATGAGGAGAAAAAAGAGAACTAACAATACGAGGACTTGTTTAATCTTTTATCTTCTTGTATTTCGTTACACGGTAACTAAAAAGAATAAATGATTAAACATACAGAGTGGCTCGAACCGATAGGTAATATGAATCACCGCCGTAGGCGGTGACAGTAGCCAGCCACCCTTTCCTCTGTCCGCGTCCGGTCCTTGGTGGACTCAAGGAGGACTTGAAGGTGGAGCGTTCCAGTCCGACAGACCACTCCAATTGCCTTTGAAATGTGTGGTTTTATTGGGGAAGATTGTGTGCTCGCCTAGAACCCGGGCGGAGCATATGGCTGTCGGGCAAGCAGGGCGGCCGACAACCCGATAAGCTGTTGGTGGAACTGCTCGACCACAGGCGCGCTCTCTCCGTAGATCTCCTTCACGGGTGCCAGCGCGTTCCTACACATGGTGTCAAGCAGGCGCTGGCCGTCGGACCCATCAAACTGCTCCAGGGGGGTGACGAGGATGTCGGTGAAACGGATGTGGAAGATGGTCTCCTGCAGGAAGTGCGTGCCTCGCGGTGGCACGGTACCGATGAGGCGCGTCGCCTCGGCAGCATGAATCCATGCGAGGTCCTCCCTCCCCGCGACGATGAGCGCCCGGGCGTAGTTGCTCCTGATGTGGGCCTCCATGACGACGTGTTCGGGAAGGTCGCGAGTGAACAGGAGGGAGCGATCGAGCCACTCGATGGCGGCTTCGAGGTGGCTGGGCACGCTTCGGGCCAACATGCGCAGCCCCATGGACAGCAGGTTGGCCGCCTCCGCCAGCTTCCACGCGTGGCCCTCGGGAAGCACCGCGGCTAACGCGGCAAGCTGGTCGCGGTGTGGTGGTCGATAACCTCGCGACGATGGCTCGGCGCGTAGGTGCGCCATGAGGGCAGCGTACAGCCCGCGGACAGCGCTGTGGAGCAGCTGAGGGCCCTTGCGCGGTATCGTCAGGGCGTACCACATGCGCATACAGACGTTGCCTGCAATATGAGGCCAGCCTGTGATCTTGTAGGCCAGCTGGAAGAGCGCGTCAGAGGTTTCGAAATCTCGGTCCATCCACAGGGCAGCGTTGCCGAGGTGGATGAGGAGACCCGCCAGCTTTTCGCAATCCTCGGCGTCCACTTGCCTGCGGCGGAGCACAACTGCCGCGCTCACCGACCGCTTGCCCGCGAGGTTGCACAGGAACGCCTTGGCTGTCTCCATCGTGTCCGATCGGAACAACTGCCAACAACATACCACAGGTCAAACATATACACTGGGTCTGACTTTGTGAAGTTGAGTTGGGCGCACCTGCAATGCTGCGTGCCAGACGTGAGCTCGCCACTGCGGCTTGGTACCGTAGCGTTCTTCCTTTGCCCCGGCCTCGTAGTAGAAGAACCAGGCCAGCGCTAGAATGGGCGGCGGGGCCGCGATGGTCGTGCGGATCTCGTGCAGCTCGCTGATCGCGTGCTTGATGGCCTCTGGAAGGGCTAAGGGGAGAAGCCGGGTGAAGATGCCTTCTGGATCAACCCACACGTTTTGCCTATGCGCCGGCATCGCCACGTCGGACCAGACCACCTCCGTGAACCGGATCGAGCGGAAGAACTTGGTCAGCTCGGCCCGGACTACGTCTCTCGGTGTGGTGGGCTTGGTGCGCTGGGTCTGCTCCAGGAGTTTTTTGAGAGAGGGGTCGGGCAGGTAGAAAGCCGAGGGGTGTTCGCTGCGGTCAGCGAGCCGCACGTAGATCCACTGCACGAGCGGCAAGAGCTCGCGGAGGAACGTCAACTCCCTGTCCCGCTTCTGGGTTCCACGGCGAGCTGTGGCGGCTGCGAAAGAGAGGCCACCGTCAACAAAGGACCAAAGAAAAAAAAGCAAACAAAACAAAAGCGGTGGCGATGAGGGTTAGGGGCGCACCTAGAGCTCTCGCTCCAGGGTTAGGGGGGTTGTAGCGGGTCGGTGCGTGGTACATGTGGCTGTATGACTTTTGGTCCAGGCCGAGCCATTTTAGTCTTACGGTTGATCCGCAATCTCTGTGTCGACAGGCAATATTTTCGGAGCCACCAATCGGTGCGTTCACAGCTTTGGCACGACTAAAGTTGACTAAATCACAGTGCAATATTTAAAGCTCACCATACCGGGAACTTATGCATTCTCCAACGCTCTCTCAAACGCACCGCAACACCACCAGCGATGGGAAACTCACAGTCTCGAAATGCGGCCTCCACCGGAATGATCCTGCTCGGCGCAGGACTGGCACCCTTCACCGGCGGAGCGAGCCTTGCCCTGACCGTCTACGGAGCGGGCCGCGTCGTGGCGGAGGAAACGGTCATCGCAAGCCAAAGCCACGTCGCCCCAGTCTACAATCTCATTCCCGACTCGAGCGAACTCAGGAACGAACGAGTGGTCTTGCTGGAGGTCATGTACTGCCACATCGTCGGTGACGACATCGGTGGCGAGATGGCGGACGCGGGAGCCACCCTTCTCGCGCGTGGCATGCTGATCACGACACAGGCCGCGCACCACCACTACGTCATCCTCACGCTCGAATCGGGGGCGCTTGTCTACATGGACAAGCACAACAAGCGCAACATTCGCGTGCGCACGGACAAGAAGGGGTTGAACATCGTCGGGGACCGGTGGCTGCGCGGCGAAGTGCTCAAGTCCACAGCCCCCACTAGATGGGGCGGGAACGTAAGCCTGAACGACCTCGTCAACAAGGCCTCGAGCAGTAACCTCGAATATTACCACCTTATCGACAGCAACTGCCAGCATTTCGCCGAGGAGCTCTACCAATTCGTCCAAGCGTGATTGAAGAAGGGTTTACGCTTCAAAAATCGCATTTAGACCAAGCCAAAATAGGCAGCTACACTGAGAATCCCGCGGCCGTGGGGTCGACCTGGGCGTTAAAGTACACGACGAGCTCGTCCATGGACGGTCTCTTGCGGGCCTTCTGGTGCCAGCAGGCCTGGAGCATCTTGCCGAAGTGGTCGGGGCAGTCGCCGGGAATCGTGGGGCGCACGCCGCGGGTGATCTCCTGGATGAGCTGGTAGAAGGGCTTCTCGCCGCCGTTGGGAGCCTCGTAGGGCCGCTTCTGAGTCAGCACCTGCCACATGACGATACCGAACGAGTACACGTCGGCCTTGGCGTCGTATCGGAAGCCCTCCTCCTTGGCGGCCGGTTGGTCTTCCGCGGTGGACAGAGGGGCGGCCAGGGTCTCGGGGGCCATCCACACGGGGCTGCCGCATCGCGTCATGGTGTCGAGCTTGGTTGTGGCAAAGCCGAAGTCGCCCACCTTGACGGCCCCGTTGCTGTCGATGAGCAGGTTGGAGGGCTTGATGTCCCGGTGCACGATGCCCCGCTCGTGCAGGAAGCCCAGGCCCAGAGCCGTGTCGCGAAGTATCCGCATCTTGTCCTCATACCGCAGAGCCTTGGCCTTGCCGCCGTACAGCAGCTGCTCGAGGCTGCCCTTTGGCATCAGCTCCATCACCAGGCACGTGCCTGCGCTCGAGTGCGAGAGGCCGATGAGCTTGACGATGTGCGGGTGGTCCAGGTCGGACAGGATGGCGGCCTCGCGCCGTATGCCCAGCATGGCCGCGTCGTTGATCTGGGTGCCGAAGAGGGTCTTGATCGCGACGGCGGTGCCCAGGTAGCTGCCCGTGTACACGCGGCCGTAGGTGCCCTCGCCGATGCTGTCCTTCTCGTTGGTCGACAGCTTTTTCGGGTCGATGATGAAGCTGCACGAGTTGGACGTGCATAGGCCGTCCATCGCGTACGCCGAGCCGCCCCAGTCGAACATGGCCGTCGAGCCCTCGTTGCCGCAGTCGTCGTCGTCGTCGTCGTCATCATCATTTTCGTTCGGTTCGTCGTCATCTTCGTTCTCTGCTGCCTGGCCGAAGAGCACGCGCGCGTAGGCGCCGCGCTCAGAGAACGAAAGCGACGCCTCAGTCTCACGGGCCAACTGCACGAACTCCTTCGAGCACTCGATGCGCTGCGGGGCGCAGTGCGCGCAGACCATGCAGGCCTCCTTGTAGTCCTTGTCGACGTAGCTTGTCTTGAGGAAGTCGTCCGGAGGCGCGCGGCACTGGCCTCGCTTGACGGAAATGCCCACCCGCGAGCGGCCCTCGAGCGTGTCGTGCTGCAGGGCGTCGGTCTGCACAGCGACAGCGAAGGCCACGGCCGCGCTGGGCGAGTGGAAGGCCAGCATGCAGGTTCCGCCGCTGTTGAGCTGCGACGGGGAGAAGAGGTGGCCGCGGTGCTCGCCGGCCCGACGACGGATGATCCGCATGTAGGCCGCGATCGCGTCGCTGGCCACGTCCGCGTCGGCGTGCCACACCTCGGCGAACCGCCGGAGGTCGCACACTACGAACGACACGTCGGTTCGGGGCACCGACAGCGGCGCCTTGGCTGCCGCCTCTCCACCGCCGCCGCCCATTCGGCCGGCCACGACCGGCAGGCCGACATCATCATCGCCGTTTGTGGACGTCGAGCGCTCGTTCTTGCTGCTCGACGACATCGAGATCGTGTCGCCCAGGCCGGTGGTGGTCAGGTTGCTATCGTAGCCGGCCATCAGGGTCGAGTGGGTGGTGCTGCTGCTGCTGCTGCGGCTCGTGCCCGCGCCGGCCTCCTTGCTCAGGTCGGCCAGCTGGGTCATGATCTCGAGGAACGTGGGTCGCATGGTGTAGTCCTGGCTCCAGCAGCGCTCCAGGATCTCCACGAGCCTCTGCTCCTCAACGCTCAGATAGCCGTACTTGTGCAGGGCCGACGGGCGCAGCTGATCGCGGATGACGGAGACGGCGATCTGGGCGGGGCTGAGGCCGGTGTAAGGGTAGGCCCGCGTGACGAGCTCCCACATGACGACGCCGAACGAGTAGACGTCGGCGAGCGAGTGGTCGACGTTGGGATCCTCAGAGAGCACCTCGGGGGCCGACCAGTGAATGGTGCCCTGCGCCACGGTGTCGGCGCCCTTGCCCAGCGAGTCCTTGAAGGCGGTGAGCCCGAAGTCGCCCACCTTGACGTTCCACTTGTTGTCGAGCAGCAGATTGAGCGACTTGAGGTCGCGATGCACGATGCCCGACGAGTGGAGGAAGTGCATGCCCTTGGCCGCCTGGTACAGGATCTTGACCTTGAGCTTGGGCGGGATGCTCGCCACCAGCTCGTTGTGGATCAGATCCCTGCGTGCAACAACCAATCGCCAAGCGTCAACACAACTAACAACCAAAGAATGGAGGAATGGGGGGGAAGGAATGTGAGGTATGTGCACATACCAGAGGGAGCCGAGAGCCATGTACTCCATGACAATGCACATGTTGGGAGGCTTGGTGCAGGCGGCCATGAAGAGGACCACGTTGGGGTGCCGCAGCCGGGCCATGGTGCGCGCCTCGTCCTTGAAGCTGGCCTCCATCTCGCGCGTCACGTCGGCGCGCTTGATCACCTTGACCGCCACCTCGGTGCCCTTCCACATGGCCTTGTGCACCTCGCCGTAGCTGCCGTTGCCCAGCGACTCGCCGAACTCGAGCATCTCGGGCAGGATCTGCCAGTCCTCCTGGGCGTTGTTCCGCCGCCGCTGCTGCCAGCAGACGAAGACCACCACCAGGGCCAGCACCAGGAGCAGCAGCAGCGCCAGCGGTATGATCACGCTCAGCAGCACGATGAGGACCGTGTCGGCGGACGACGAGTCCTGCTTCCACTCCTCGCACCACGCGCCCGTGCGGCCCTCGTCGCAGAAGCAGCTGCCCTGGATGCAGCTGCCCATGTCCGAGCACAGGGTGCCGTTGTGGATGCAGCCGGCCAGCGCGCTCACAGGCTCGTCGTCGCACTTGATGTCGGCGACGTAGTTGAGGAGCATGGCCTTGACGAAGGGACCCGAGGCCGAGGGCACGCCCAGGCCCGACGCGAAGATGGTGCCCAGGGCGTCGGCCGAGGTCTGGCTCCAGTAGAGCCACTCGACGAGGGACTCGAGCCGGGCGCAGTCGCCCTGCTGGCGGGTGTCCAGCAGGAGCGAGTTGACGGTGAGGATGGGCCAGCTGTTGGGGCCGGGCGCCCAGAAGATCTCGACGGGGCTCTCGGCGATGAGGGCGTTGATAGACGAGGCCATGGTGTCCTGGCTCACCGCTACGGTCTCGCCGTCGCGGTTGATCATGCTCGCAGGCTTGGCCTGGCGCTCCTTGGCGTCGTAGTTGGAGGTCCACATGGCGAGCGAGTTGGGCGTGTCCTGCACCACCTGCATGACGTCGAGGCTGTCCACGCCCACGGTGTTGGGGTTGTCCGCGGCCGGGAAGTCGATCGTGTAGCCCCAGTTGATGTTCTGGCTGAACTCGGGCACGACGAGGGACAGGGCGCGAGAGTAGATGTAGGTGATGGTGCTGAAGGTGGACTGGTAGATGAGCCGGATGTCGGCGTTGGGCAGCGAGCCGTTGAGGAGCGGGTTGAGCGCGACGATGTCCGGGTGGTTCCACTTGGTGATGCGGTCCATGTAGATGTCGGAGATGACCTCCATGGAGAGCACCAGCGAGGCCAGGCCCGAGATGGCCGGGATGTTGTAGGCCGGCGCGATGGCCATGGCCGTGAACGGCACCGGCTTCACGTGGGGCATCGCCAGCTGATCGGCCGGCGACAGCGCCGTCGAGATGATGGCAAAGTCGGCCTCGCGGGCCTTGAGCGCCGCGATGCCGCCCGCCGTCGTGCTCCCGAAGTACTTGAGGCTGAACGAATTGCTGCTGAACGACTGCGTCAGCGTCTGGTAGACCTCGTTGGGCGACCCGTTGCCGAACAGGATGCCCTTGCCCACCGCCGGCACGCCGTTGCACAGCACGCTCTGCAGAAGATTGGTCCCCAGCCGCTTGTAGCCGAACGACAGCGCGTAGAAGCCCAGCTGGCCGGCCGACCCCGCAGCGGCGCTGTTGATCTGCGACCAGCTCAGAAAGGAGAGGGTCTCGCGGATGTAGAGGCAGTCCACCTTCTTCTCCACCAGCCGGCGGTTAAGCCGCATCGTGGCCAGTACCATGTTGGCCAGCGGCCACGACCCGTTGGCGGCCGTGTTGACGATCGACAGCTTCTGCGTCATCGTCGCATTGGCGGCGAGGGTGCCCATGGCCGCGGCCACCGATGCCGCGTTGGCCTTGACCTTGTAGCCCGCGCGGTTCATCATCGACGCGTGCGGGAGGCCCCTCTTGCTGGCCTCCTCGATGGGGCAGTAGGTGATGGCGCCGTCGGTGGCATTTACCGAACCCACCGGGTCGGCCGCTTCGACCGCGGCCGGGCACGCGGCGAGGGCCAACGTGAGGTTGCCGCCGTACGACGAGTCGAGCCACGCGCCAAAGGCCGGGCTGGCCGAGCGCAGGGCCGCTTCCAGCACATCGCCGATGTTGCCGGGGCTGTTGCGCCGGGACGAGTAGACCAGCGTGATGGGTCCGGCGAAGCCACCCAGCAACGTCGGGTTGAGACCCGTTACGAGCGGGTGGTCCCAATGGGTGACGGTACCGTTCAGAATGCCCACGAGAATGGCGGCGCTGAGGACCAGCTCAGTCTCGTTGCCCGTGTTGAGCGCGTCGAGCCGGTAGCCGAGCGCGACGGCGGTGGCGGCGACGGGCACCTGGACCAGCGCGTCGGTGGAGCTGTTGTAGGGGGTGCCGCCGGGGGGGCCACAGGCGTCGTCGGTGGCCATGGGGTACGAAGTCGACACAAAATCGACCAGGCCCTGGTCGTAGAGGGCGAGGGCTTGGCAGGTGTCGGCCGGGGGGGCCAGAGAGTAGGCCAGCTTGACGTCATCGCGCTGGAAGGCGTAGTCGGTCGACAAGCGCTCGAAGAGCGCAGCGTGGAAGGGTCCAGAGCCCACCAGGACCAGGCCCTGCGCGGCCTGGAGAGTGAAAAAAAGGGCCAACACGACGGCCAGGACGAAGAGGCCCTGGTGCCCCATGATGGCAGCTGCTTCAAAGTTGTTCTTTTCTTTGGCGGAGTGGTTGTTGGAAAGGTACCCTTTCGCTACTCCGCGACCTAAGTAAGTGCTCGAGGCAACATGGTGATGATTGGCCGATGCGTGTATGGCGGAAGAGGATGATAGGCCAGATTGCTCCAACTTTAGTTTTAGGTATCAACCCTAATTAGAGTTCTACCCAGAAAAGCGCTGAAACATTTCGCCGGCCAATCGGCTGCCGGCTCGGCAATACACGAGCTCGTTTTTGTTACCTTGTTGCAAGGTCCTACTTCTAATTGGTGCACCTCGCGAGTTCTGATAGCGGGATTGCCTAGTCGGCACGAGGTCTCCGTAGCATGCACTGACGCAAATGGAGAGTGATCGCTGAGTTTCCACCTTTGATTACCAGGTCAAAATAGAGTTGATGGCGGCTGGCACGAAGTGTGCGTCAACGGCTCAGCTCCACCATTACTCCACTCACGGCTACACCGTTACGTCGCCGATAGGGGAGTGCCAAGGCGCGATGCTTTCGCCTTTTCACTGCAGTCTGTCCAGGTATAAAAGTGAGTTGCCCTCAAAGGGCCAAGCAACAGAAACCTCAACACACTTCAACCCAACACACATTCACTCTCAGTCAGAGTACTCTCGCACCGCACTGCTACCTACCGGAGCTCCCCAGTCCACCATGAGAGCCGCCACCTACACCACGGTCGCGATTGTCGGGGCCGCCCTCGCGGTCCTGATGATGATCACAATGGCATCGGCCCAGAACGTGGTCTACGGAGGCGAGAGCCCGCAGAGCCAGTTCAACGGCAACGAGGCCAAGCTGCGCAACGCGGTCCTCAAGTACGCCGGCGCGTGGGCCAAGCCCAACCGGACCGAGCTGGCCCAGGTGCTCGCTACCGACGTCCTCGTGGCCTACCCGGCGGCCAAGCTCGACTACGCCGCCACGCTCGAGGCCTTCGACACCTTTGTCGCCCAGTACACCAACACCACGGTCGTGATCCCGCAGGGCGGCATCATGGCCGATTGGAAGGACCGTCGCGTGAGCGTGCAGTGGAAGTTCTCCACTCATGTGCGCAGCACCGGTGTGCGTCAGGTGGTCAACGCCGCCATCGTAGGCAAGCTGCGCGCGGTCGGTAACGGCAACAAACAGGTGATCCAGCTCGTCGAGTGGCTCGAGTTCGCCGACGCCGGCCGCGTGCCGGTCCTCCAAGCCGCCGGCGTGCTCTCCTACGAAGACGGGGTCGACGCCGTGCAGAAGCCTTGGCCCGCGTTTGTGCCCGGCAAGGAGCAGTGCAAGGCGGTCGTCAAGGCCAAGTGCCCGCTGCCCACCTACACCGACGGCAAGATCCACTGGAACCTCATCCCGGCGACCGGCCAGCTGCCGCCGGCCTACTTCGACTCGGTGGGCGTCTACGATCCCGAGCGTCGGGTCTTCTACATGAACGGCGGTCTGACCGAGTCGACCCAGGTGACCCAGGCCAAGCTGTCCAACGCCACCTTCGTGCTCAACGTCGATGACCAGGAGTGGTTCCAGCTGACCGACGTCGACGGCCCGGCCGCCCGATGCGACGCCACCATGGCCATGGGCAGCTCGAGCAACCTGGTGCGTGTCATCGGCGGCCGCGGCGCCTTCCGCACGCCCGACCCCAAGAACCCGGGCCAGTTCATCGACACCATCCAGCACAACGAGTACGTCTACAACGCCGCGACGGGCGCCTGGACCGAGATCCCGCTGCGCCACGTCGAGGCCGACCTGGTGGCCCGCGCCGCCGCGGCCCGCTTCTACCGCGTCGACCCGGCCACCGGCGAGCGTCAGACCTGCATCTTCGGCGGCCTCGGCAACACGCTGCCCCGCTTCTTCGCCCAGACCAAGGGCGTCTTCTCCGACATCATTGTCCACACCCCCTCGCAGGGTTGGCGCGTCGTGGAGCCCGCTGCCGGCTCGCCCGTCCCGCTGGGCCGCGCGTGGGCCAACACGGCCTACATCCCCGAGCTCGACTTGCTGCTGGTCCACGCCGGCTTCGGCAACCAGAGCCAGAACACGTCCATCACGCCCGACCCCAGCCTGCCGCTTGACTGGGTAGACTCGAACGTGTACGACGACCTGTGGGCCTTTGACTTTGGCACCCGCGTCTGGACCCGCCTCAACCTGCCCGGCCCCAAGCCCCGCGAACGCTCGGGCGGCATCGGCGTGTGGGACCCGGTGCACAAGGCCATGATCATCTTCGGTGGCTACAACTTCTTCGGCAACGGCACCACCGACTTCTGGGCGCTCAATGTCAACTTCACCGACATCGGGGCCAGCCGCTGGGAGGACCTCAGCCTGCGCGTCGAGGGCAGCATTCCCGTCGGCAGGATCGGTGCCGCGCACTTCGACCGCGTCACGCCCGAGGGCTTCGAGATCTGGATCGTGGGCGGCGCCGACAAGGACGCCCGCTTCGACTCGCCCCCCAGCGCCGACATCTACCGCGTCGTCCTCCCCACCGTCCTCGCTCCGGTCTGAGCGCGTAACCTCGCGGTTCAGCCTATAATAATTCTCTCATTTTCGTGTGTAAAGATAGAAACCAGTAAATATATATATTTTTGTACCATAACCCTTTCTGGCCTCTATTACATCCCCTTCTTGTCCCACAAATAAATAATAAAACACAAAGCGAGAGGAAAACAAAAGGAAAAAAAAAAAGAGCAACACCCATCCGCTCTTGTAGCTTTGTCCTTCCCTTTCAATCTCCAACATTTGCACACATCGGCAGCGGTCGTCTCGAGCGGAGGCGTAACGTTTACTTGACCGTCCTGCTCCAGCACCAGTGACTTTACCGACGTTGACAACGAGGAGGACTACCCGCTTGGTGGGGCGTCGTCTTTGTCGTGTGCATGACGCATGATGTATGTGTCGCCGTTTGAACCGCTGCGACCACAAGTCTTGTCATCTTGACCACGAGCCAATCCCACCGGTTTGGTTGCCCAAGGAGAGTGGAGGACCAGGTGGCCGGTGGTCTTCAAAAGCTTGGCTGCCTCTTCGCATGCGCTATTGCTCTATTGCCTCAAACCCAAAGTACTCACCAGCAAGCCATGTACAACGCTCGCCACCTCTCCTTCTTGGCGGTGGTCGCCTGCTTCGTCCTTGGGCTGACGATTCGGCCTTCCTCCGCCGTCTCGGGTACCTCAACTAAGTCTCCCGCAAGTCTCTCCGCTTTGGACCACCCTTGACTTTTTCCCTCTGCTATGAGAGGCCTGCCTGACCACATCTTTGTGGTGGCAGTGTCAGTGTGCACGAGCGGATGCGACTACGCCAACCTCACCTCTGCCTTCGCCAGCCTGTTGCAACAAGGACCCAACGTCACGAACGTGGTCAACGTCGCTGCGGGCACCTACAACGAGAACGGTCGCGTGTCTTCTTACTCCGTCATCTTGAAGTACGTACGACGTAGCTTCTTGCCCCGAAGTGGTGAAGCTTGAGACAACTGACTGAGATCGGCTGATGATTTCTATTTACTATCAGCATTGATCCAGCTGGCGTCACGCTGGTGACGACGAACCGATGGACCTCCCTGGTAAACGTGGTTGGTGCTCTGACCATCCAAGGCGGTCCTCTCACCATTTACGGCTTGGGTACGTACCAGTCCATCCAATGGTCGTCAACACTCGTAACCCCCCAAGATTGAGAGAACGCATCATCACTGTGATGAATAGGACTTAGCGTGGAATCAGGCAAAGGTCCGTTCAACCTCGCCACCCCGCTCACCCTCATCGACTGCTACCAGGGTACCCTTTCCACAACTTTGTTCAATAATGTGCGATGGGCGATGTGATAATAACCACAACTCGTGCCTGTGACACACAGGTCTTTCGCTGGGCTATGGTGTGGTCTTCAACCAAAACGCGCCTCTCAACATCACCTTGGCGGGTGACAGCATGAGCAACTATGGTACGCATAGGGATCGCTCACTCCCTCCTTGATTCACCAGCCCGCCCTTCTCACTATATATACATATGTCTGATCTCATCATCCAGCCGTCTTGGCCAGTGGTACTTGGTACCAAAACGAGAACGTGGACGTTGACTGCGCCAACAAGATGTGTTGGGGTAGCGCACTCTCTTCTTCCCTCTCTGGTGTTCCTTCTCTCTTTTTTGGGGCTAATCCATTTTTTCACCGCCTCAGCCATGCATGAGTCGTACGGCTGCACCTGGTACCAGAGAGCGAACGTGTCCGTACGCCGAGCCGGCAGGTCCAGCCTGGGTACGTCAGTTAACAGCTGAGCAAGAAGATAGTGGGGTGGTGGTGAAGACAGCTCACAGTCCTTCTTTTCCAGCATTCTATGTGTACGACCACACGACGTGGATTCAAGAGGGTGACGTCTATGTGGAAGCCTACGACGCCACAGCTATCTATCTCGTGGACGGAAGCTATTGGAACCAAACCGGCACCGTCACCGTCGCCCTTGGCCAGTCCGCTGATGGTTCGTTCACTACACCAGGCTCAGTCCACCAGCATCCGCTCCTTACTGATCGCTCGCTCACCTCTGCCCAATGTAGGGGTGTACGTTTCCAAGTCGGTTTGGTTGCAGGGGAACTCGATCACCGTCACGGGAACCAACAAATCAGAGAGTACGTGTTTTCCCACAACAGCACTACTCTCTGTTGTCTTGTCTGGCCACAACTCACGCCTTAGCCTTTCATCAGCGGACAAAACGGGCGTGTACATCAGCGGGGGAATCTGGAATCAGACAGGCCCGGCCTCGATTGACCTCGGTAAAAGTTCTACCGGTACCCTCTTCTTTCTGACGCGATGAAGTGCAGGAGCGACGCAACACACAGACGGCTGAGCTGACATCATCATCATCGCTGTCATCATCATCATCATCAGGCGTTGTATTGTCCTTCAACGCTTCATGGACTCAAACTGGCGATGTCACCATTCTCAACTACATCTACGGCAGCGGTTTGTTCCCACTTTTATTCTATTCTATTCCCTATATTGCCCCTCGTGTGTGTGTGTGCCAACACATTTCCTCCACAGGTGTGAACTCCTACACTTCCGTTCCATCTTCGTCGTGGTTCGCGCAAGGGAACACCACGATCAATGCCGAGACCGGCGGAATAGGAGTCAACTTTCAGGCCGAAGATGTGCTCTTGGTATCAGGCACCATATTCGTCTCTGCTGTCAACCAGACATGTACGCCTCCTCTCTAACTGTGCTCCTTGACCCCTTCTGCTGTCGCTGACTTTAGAACGCTTGACTTGTTTACGTTCACGCTCCAGGTGCCGTAAGCTATGAGCCAGCGATCAGCTGTAACAACTGCACGGGTGCTTACAACATCTCCATCTCTGCTGGCAACACCGTCACTTGTACGCCTCCTTTGAAGACTTGTTGCGCTGCGCGATGGAACCTGCTCACCCAAACCACCGACAATCATCGCTCGGAACCACGCATCACAGACGCGGGTTGCATCAGGCCCTCACCCAGCAGGAGCCCGTCGGCGAGTCCCTCGCGCACGACCCAGTCCCCCACGCCCTCCACCACGCCCACCAGCTCGGCCACGCCCTCCGTCACGAGGACGCCCTCCGTTACGCCCAGCCCAAGCCTCACGCCCAGCCCCACCAGCTCGGCGACTCCATCGACATCGAGGACGCCCTCCATCACCCCGACACCAAGCGCCACACCGAGCCCGAGCAGGTCAGCCACTCCATCGATCTCGGTGACGCCTTCGCCGAGCCCTTCACTGCCTCCCTCGCAGAGTCCTTCCAGATCAGCTTCGCCAAGTCCATCAAAGAAGGGCTGCATTCTCGGCATCCTCTGTTGATCCTCTGCTGCTCTGAGTTTGTGTGGAAACGGGAACCGAGAAGTGGTGTAATAAAGAGCAGCACGCGACAACCTTTCACGGGTACATGACAGGCAGGCGCTGACCTTAGGCCTTGGCCACATCTCTTCCTGCGCTGGCTATTGGGGCCAGGCAGGACCTGAGCTTCCATCGATTGCGGCGTGTGTGTTGTCCCCGCGCAGCCTGCCCGTCACCGCATGAGTGTGAAGAGGAAACAAAGTACTATGTGGGACTGTGGGCCGCACCTGTGGCTGTGGCCTCCCACAGTGGCGTGGCAGTCAGGGCAGACGCCCTCCTCCATGGCCCCTCCGCATTCGCCGATGAAATAAAAGTGTCCCTGCGCACCACCCACCCCAGTGGGTTGGACCAAGACCCAAGATCGCCCAAGGCGAAAGAAGGTGGTGCAGAGCGTACGTTGGGGCATTTGAACCAGTGGCCGCTGCCTCCTTCCTTCGTCATGGCCTGGATGACCAGCTGCAACGTCTTCTTGTCGACGCCCAGTCCCTAAAAGAAAGAATGAAGGAAAAACGTTCGTTAGCGTGCCGTCTCAATCGCCGCCGTATGTACGTACCTCCTGCTGCAGCTTGTCGACCGCTGCGCGCCACCTTTCAGTGTCCGCGAGGGTCGGCCGTTGGTTGGCCCTGAGCTCACGCTCGAGTGTGCCCAGGCGACCGAGCAGGTCTGTCCCCATCTGTTCCTGCCGCACGACCTCGACCAAGAACTCGATCGTGACCTGGTAGAAGTCGCGTGTCATGGCCAGCAGCTCGGGTAGCTCGACATGGACGGCCAGCATGTCCCTCTTCAGCTTGTCCAAGCGGACCGTGTAGATCAGCGGAGCCTTGGCCTTCTCGCCCACATTGCGCCTGAGCCTGATATAGGACGCCACTGTGACAGGCAGCAGCAGCAGCAGCACGAAGACGGTCAGGCCCATCAGGGTGTTTACATCTATGCGACGGGAAGGGGCATATATATACGCATGCTGAGCTGTTGCTGAATCACGTGCAATTCGTCCTCGCCCAGTGGGCGTGACAGACGCTTCTTCAGCTCGTGCATCTCGCGTATCAGTTCTTCTTCGTGCTGCCGACTGTGGTCATTCATCAGCATCAGGACCAGAAGAACGAACAACTGGTGTCAATGGGGCTGTGGCGCGGGAGCGAACGCACCCCTTGTCGAGGTCTGCGATGAGGGCACTCGCCTGCGTCTTGGTCTCTCGGACGGCCTGTCTTAGTTGCTTCTGCCGCTCGCGGAGGCGTCGCTTGACTCCCTCAATGTCCTGCAACTTCTGCTTCACCACATTTCCATACCTGCACATACGCAATCGCACGCACACGCACACGCACACACACACACACACACACACACAATCGCACACGCGCAATGAGGGGAGAGCCGCCTTGACCTAAGTCGGTGGGGGAGTGTGTACCGGTAGGTTTGGCGGATGGGTGTCCTGCAGTTGGGGCAGTGGGGGAGCTGTATGGCGGTGTTCTGGGCCTGCTGGTTCATCCAGCTGTCCAGCCCGCTGACCTCGAACACGTGCTGGCAATCGATCAACTGTCGCACCAGTCCCATCACAACACCACGTCAGTCACGCTCACGCCCGCGCGAGCTCTCACGCTCCATGGGATCAAACCTGGAGAAAGCGATCCGACTCAAGGTCTCGCAGAGGCATCAGAATGATGGTCTCCTCTTCTTCAGGGGTGCAGGTGAAGCACCACGTAGGACACGGCTCGCCGCAGAGACCTGGAAAACCAGGAAAGAAATACAGAGAAAAGCCATCATCAGCTCACAAAGATTGCCAACATGCAAGGTTGAGAGTGGGTGGGGGCGCATTACCAATGCAGGGATGGCCGCAGGGAAGCGCCAACTTGCAGGGCTCGTTGCAAGGAGGGCGGTCGCACGGCTCGCCGCAGAGTGACGGACACGTCACGTGCTCGCAGCGCCAGGCGCAAGGCTCCGTGCCTGCAGCCAGCCGGGCGTGAGTGATGGCCTAATCCTTAGGCGGCGTGAAGGCAGTGGGTGGTGGGGTACATGGAATGCAAGGCATCCGGCACTTTAGGTTGCACGTGCTGTGCACGCACTTGTTGGCGCATTTCCTCTTGCACGGCGGACAGTCTTTGACGCACGGCGAGTCGCACGGATGTCCTGCCCAGAGCGCAGTTAGTCCGGGTGGGTTGGGCGAAAAGAGGACACAAGTGGCGGATGTGTCGTCAAGTTGAAGGCTTACCGCACACGAGTGTCCGCTCGCACTTCTTGGTGCATGCGACGTGGTTGTTGCCCTGCTCGCACGAGCTGCACGTTCCCGTACACGGGTGTCCGCAGGGCAACACTGCCTCGCACTTGGCCTTGCAGACCACCAGCTCAGGTCTGATGAAACAACCAAATTGTCAATCGCGCGCACACAAACAGCACAATTCGGGTCAGTAGCCACCAGAGTTGAATGGAGGGCGAGGAATGTGGGCGTACGCCTGGTGGCAAGGCACGACTGCGTTGTGGCCACACGGCAGGCCCTTGGTGCACGGATAGTCGCACACGCATAGCTCCGGCGCGAGATAGCACGGCTGGCTGGTCGTGTGACCGCAGGGCAGCGTCTTGCGTACTCGCACGCGGCAGTCGCCGCATGGCTGCCAACACTTTAGCGGACAGGCGTGCTGACACTCCCGTTTTTTGGCGCACTTGCTATAGCACTTGATCTCTTCATGCAGCGAGTCATCCGGATGACAGCTGTGGCCCCACCACCCACCACCACCACGCTGTGAGTTGTGCGCGCCAGACCCGTGCTACTGTCGGCGGCGTACTTCAGGGTGCAGGCGTGGCCGCAGGGCAAACGCGAGTCGCACTTGAGCATGCAGCCGCCCATCGGGGCTTTCGC